ATTATCTGCATCAGCCTCTATCAAAGGGAAAGAAAGACGCTGATTCGAACAACGAAGAGCATCTGAGACTATGTTCAATTCAGAAAACCTGCACAGGTGTCACCAAATTGTAGCCGAAGCGAAAAAACTGACTGGTTCAGTTTAGGTTCCTTCCGTCTCCAAGCGACTTTCCCCTCAACTATTGTACAGAAACAGCGAACATGGGCAGAGTGGCGACGAGCAGTTGATTCGGAGCAGAAGCACTGCCAGTCAAAGTTACTCTGAGCCTACCCTGAGACTTTGTAAATAGTAAAGTCGACTACTAACGGCCGAAAATGGACTTGAGCATCAGAGCAGTCAGGTTTTCAATTAAGCACTGTTCGTTGTGGAAAAGTGCAACTCCTAACTTATGAAGAGCACAAAAATAAAGCTATTGGCACCTCTTCCCGTGGTAGGGCTATACAATCAATTATCATTTGAATTCAAAATGGCTTGAGGAATGCAATTAGGCCTCACTACTGGTTAAGTGATGTCCATTAATACTTATTTTTTACTCTCGGCCAGTAGCCAACAATATTTTTTTNCAGAGCAGTCAGGTTTTCAATTAAGCACTGTTCGTTGTGGAAAAGTGCAACTCCTAACTTATGAAGAGCACAAAAATAAAGCTACTGGCACCTCTTCCCGTGGTAGGGCTATACAATCAATTATCATTTTAATTCAAAATGGCTTTAGGAATGCAATTAGGCCTTACTACTGGTTAAGTGATGTCCATTAATACTTATTTTTTACTCTCGGCCAGTAGCCAACAATATTTTTTTTGGCAGTTCGGACATCCCGTTTGGCCCTCCACCATTTTTTTTTTTTGATATGAGGTTCACCTAGTCGAAATTTCATGTTTCCGCGGCAATCTGCAATAAAACGTCGACCACTTGACGATCTGCCGTTCGAAAAGAAAGCAGTCCCATTAGAATGTCGGAAAACGGGCAGTTTCCATGCCTACAAATCGTCTATTAGGCCGTTCCTTCCATCTTACATCTCTTTCTCGGAGAAACAGTTTTTAAGACAATTTTATTAGAGAGTCTTCCCTAACTACAGGCCAGAGACAGCAAAAATGTTCCGGACTTGTTTATTATAGATTGTTGTTGATGCCTGACAAAACCCACCCTTCTCAGTTTGGTCATGCTTTTCTGCCAACCAATTTAGCCTTCCAAAGTAGTGGACTTTTCTGATAAACCTCGCCGCTCTGAAAGGCGCAGGCGACCATGGAAACGGTTTCGGAAATTTGGAATTTTTCTATTTCTACTCATGGCAGCTGCGAAAGGCTACACAGGACGTTGTTGAGCTCAAAAGCGACTCGGATTGGGACCTATAATAGCTAAAAGAACCAGTCCTGACGCCCGCTGGCCGTCACTATTCTCGAAAAAGGACTTGTTCAACGCCCTGAAAAGCGACTCGGATTGGGACCTATGATGGCTAAAAAACCAGTCCTGACGACCACTGGCCGTCATTATTCTTAGAAAAGGACTTGTTCAACACCCTGATAGAGGCTCCGCCACGTATAGCAGCATTCAAAGTGGAGCACATTTGTTTCATGTGAATGCGAGCAATCCGATATACACGCTCCAGCACAGTTTGCTCTGCAGTTACTGTAATCCCGTTCAAACACTCCTTTCATGATACCGTCCGACTTTAGAACGATTGGTCCAAGGAAAAAGTGATATCCCGGTATTTTCCTCGTTATCCCCGGCACCAATGGACTATTCTGCATTAACACTTCCGCCCTGCGTCCCACGAACGGAATATGAGATTATAGCAAACATGAACTCAAAATCTAAAGTTGTCGCATCGCCAATGGCGGAATGAGGAAGACGAGAGTGGAGCGCTGGATTATTTTCAACGCAACGATATCGCGCGACGACTCGTAACCCTTCCTACCAATTCGAACCTTGTCTGCCAAGCTGAGAAGGAGTGTCCTGGCTCATTCGATATTGAGCCGCAGAGACCTTCTTATCAGCTCGGCTATCTCCTCTAATAGGATGATATTTTGTATTCGAGAAAACAAAATATCATCCTCGTGGCTCATAGTTACTCCAGATCAACCAAATATCTTCCCAGTTGGTTGATATTTCTTTGCCTGAGTGTGTGAAAATACAGGAAAAACTGCAAATAACTGCTCGCTCTCAAAGTCTATTGTTATAACATTCCCATGTTAAAATTCTTCTATAACACTTCGTGGGACACGTTGTATAGCTCGACTGAAAGAAGTAGCCTTTTTGTGCGTCAGGTGCTTTCTGCGAGTGTGATTGCTAATATAGTCAATCCCTTCTTTCCAAAATATCACTCGGTCTCCCTATCCCTTAGGGATTAGTTCGTATCCTTATGTTTATCTAGTTCGAAAATCAGGATGACCGCTGAGAGAAATATTAATGAGCTTTATTTCCATAAATTGATGAAAGATAAGGCAAAGTAGGATCCAACCACAGGAGCATTTTCCAGATGTTCTGCTTACGCCCTGTCTAGCCTGTGCTCTTTGATGTGTCACGGTAAGAAACTTTCCAGCAGAGGCGGCTGGGCTTTTCGTTAACACATCTGGAGCCGAGCAACTCAATTCGCTCTTGTAGGAGCTTGATGGGAGAGAGTTGGAGAAAAAGTTTTCCAATCCGGAGTAAGCCACGCCCAAAAACTTGTAATTGAAAATTGGACCGAATCGGTGTCTGTGGCCACCTCTGACAAAGTCATGCACACTCACAATGTATTTTCTTTCATGATACTAGGGAAAGGATATAATTTTGTATTATAATATGCTGTCACAAGGTAAGAGGCTCGTTCTTTTTTTGGTGTCGTAGAAGACTTACAATGGGACATGCTTTCTTAATTTATTCACTACGCATTGACGCCATACATGATCTTTCTCGCACACACCATGTGATTACCCTTCTAACGCCTGCTATAAGCGTTCATGCACTGAGAATAAAGATCCTATTTTGCCTTATCTTTCATCAATTTATGGAAATAAAGCTCATTAATATTTCTTCCTGCGGTCTGAAGATAATTTCCAGCAGCTCACTGCCGTTTGGGTGAACGTCCATGGTTCGAAGTTTATGGCTTAGACGATATGTGCTTTACTAACTGCAAACGTTTGCATATGCAAACATACCAAGCAAGGTGCTGAATATGACAACGAGCCGACAGAAAGTGCATGCCACAGCAGAAATAGACAAGCTGCCCCTTCCATCCTTTTAAAACCAACACATTTTGCTTCTTGTCTGAGTCTTACCCACTGTCCGCCACATTGTGTAGTGCCACCCAGCCTGTCACAAACTTGTAGCTTTTGGTCTTTCACTCTGGAGTATATCCGTAAAATGACTAAACACATCATATAGTGCTGCTATGTTCGTTTCAAATCCATAGCATATGAACGAGTAATCGCTGAGGGGCCACGTTCGTTCCGTCGCCTCCAGTACAATTCATTATCAAGGGTTAGCATGAGTGATTGACATTTAAACTACGATTATACCTCCATTTCAAATATTTTGTCATGCGATCTTCGCTTTTTTATACTAACTTTTTTACTGTTCCGTAACAATTTGTTCCCTACAGTAACCCAAGCCGCTCATCATGTTGAATCAAAGACTATTGAGCTTCGATGTATCCGATCGCAAAAACTTTTTGAAGGCTTTAACCACTGCCTCGATTGCCGCTGACAATATGTGAATCCCACATGTCGACACCGCCTCGACACTAACTTTTAATGAAAGATTCTTTGCCGGCTTGAGTTGGTGAATTCAAACGGTAATATGATACTTATTCTTTACAAAATCGTTTGGCTTAGTGGGCAGAGTTAATTCGATGTCTAGTCGCTTTTTCCAAGTTTCAAACTATCCCCTCCCAATAAGTTCACGAAAACTGCTTGATGATATGAACGTCTACGCCTATTGTATGAGATTTGATTACTGTTACTTCTATGCAAGGTCACAATTTTTAACTTTCTTTTGACACATGATCATTGTCCTGCGCTCAACCGTTTTGCAATTTGCTCGTATCATTGAACAGTTGCCTCTTGTAGAGCTTGCTAGTCGAAATTTTGCATTATGGTCTTTCATTCACAGAATTTACACTGTCTCTACGTTTGTGCCACTTGTTTAAGGCAAAAATTACTAGTAGAGATACTAGTAGGAGATTCAATCGATAAGATCGAAATTATGGGACAATTATTTCGGAAGTAATTGTACCATCGCGATTTACCTTAGCCCTATGCGTCATCACAATCCTGAGATTCTCTTTTGAATGCAAATGCATGACTGCACGACAGTGATTAGAAAGGAATAAGAGACGCTTCTTGGAATAATCACAATAGGCTATCATTTTTGATGGCAGTTTTGAATATTTTAAATTTTGTAGCTGTAGTCGTTGAAGGATGTTCTCAATTCCTTCACTACCTGCTGCCTATGAGCAAGTTAGGACTGCTGTTCACATTGTTCGAGCGCAGAGCATAAGTTTTTTTAAGTGTTATGTTATCAAAGCTATAGATAGACATTCGAAAGCCAGGCAGAAATTACCCCTTTATGCCTGCACTTCCTACTCATCCGCTAATTTTCGAGGTATTGTCGAAGTCACCTCCTGTACCCTTACGATAAGCCTCATGATAGTAAGTGTAGGTCTCAAAATACTGTAGGCGATCAAACTAAATCTTCGATTCGAAGCGACATCTATCAGCCGATCTTAGGAGGTGAAACCTCAATGGCACCAAAAAATGACGCGGAATCCCTACTTTGCTAACCGCGTACTAGCTGACCATATCCGTTTTCGATTTCCTTCTTTACGCTATTCGTGTTGCAAAACTGACGCGAGATTTCGTCATTTCCTGTATTTTACCCTTTTTATCGTCTCCTAGCTTTACGTCGTTTCCTAGCTATACATTTTTGGTCCCTTTTCGTACTTTCAAGTATTTGACGTTCAGGTAAATGGTATTATCGGTTTCTCAATTAATCTCTTGTTCAGCAGCAGATGCGCGTTGCTGCATGTGGTTCTACGTTACTATCGCAATCCTATTCGGTTATACAATTGTTCTGATCGCATTTTTTATGGGATGGTGTACATTAATGCCAACTTTGTAAGTTCCCTTTCACTACTCTTCTACTGGCTCCTCGATTACTTTGGATGCTGTTAATGTTAATGATTTACATTGAAGGTGTCATCCTCGGAAGGAGATACCGTTCAGTGCAGTCAAATCACCTCGACGGAACACAAAGTACATCGAAATAGACTCTGTTTCATCCAGGTACTTTGGAAGATTACTTTTTCATGGTTGTACATTCACGAACGGAGCCTAATTTTGGGGTATTGTGAGGCGCATTCCCCATGCACTTAATACTGGATCAAAGAAAAAATTGAGTTCGAGCTAGTGTGGTCGATAGTTCACTTACACGTCAAGTCTTTCATACGCCCATAAGAATCTGGATTACGCTCACCGTCATTAGTCACCCAAGAGATTCCATGGGGAGACCTATACAAAACTACCGAACCAAAAAATGAGGCCAGTCTCTCTGTGAGCATTAGCTGAACCACTGCTCACGGGGATGTGGAAGTTGCGGAACCCCATAGATATTTCTAACTTTGTAATCTCATGTATTTGATTTTAGCGCGTCTCTGGACATGTTCAAGCAATTACCCCGAAGGTTCTCCGAAGCAAATGCCAAGAAAACCTCTCTCGACGTTCCACCTCCACCTCACCGCTTCAACGACTACCTGCACCCGAAGTACTCACTACCGCCCGTAAAAATCGATATCGAAGAGATCAGGGTGAGGATTGCTAACATATAAGAAGAAATCATGAGGGGAACAATTCGTCACAAAAGCTAATCGGGGAAAGCTTCTTTTGGATTGCGAATCATAAGGATACTCTAAACGCTCAAATAGCGATGTATCATCCTGAAAAATTCCTTACAAAGCTGACGAGCACCAAGCGAGTAGTTTTAGAGGAAACTGCTTCCCTTCTAAGCTACAAACATATGAACACATATTGACGTTCAATATTACACATTCTATTCACATTTACAACCTTTACTACACATCAAATTTACAACATATGTATCACGTCTGATCACTCCGTTGCGGTTGCATATGAAAAGTCAATAGCTTAGCACACGGACCGTCACCATTATAATTTTTATATTTGAGCAAAGAATCTCTGGCAAATGATTTTTGAAAAAAGAATCTCTGAGAAATGCTCCGCCCGTGATTCACCCCCTACTGACTTTTGCCTCACTTCAGCACTGGATTTTTGGCAGATTCCAATGGCTTTTTCGGTCTACGGTCTGCCCTCGAACCTTCTGTGCACTTTCATCGCCCTCTAGCCCTCTCCTTCTCTAGAAACACTTTGACTTCTGGGGCGTATCGGACTGGGATCTCGTACTCTTCGCAAAATCCACGGACTTCGCGCATTTTGGTTTTAACCAGTTTATCTCTCCATACGTCTTGCCCATGAAGAAAACCTCAAAATCGGCATGACCATTGTAATACTGGATACCGTAGCGGCCTATGGTCTTGCTGTTTTGAAATACTCTATTTAGTGAATAAATGACTGATTTTGATTTTTTTGTGTTCAGTGGGAGTACGAGCAACTTCTCAAGACGCCTGGTCGAGCTGTTCGCACAAGTACCAGTCCTTCGTCACGTCGCGGTAAAGAATCACGCTCCTGTCCGGAATTATGAAACGTCCGTTCATTCCCAGAAATGATCAGGAGCAGCTGAGAGCAGATACCATCTCGACTCGAGGCAGTAGTACATTACGCACACATCAGAAATTTAGCACTCCTTTCCTCGATTTGCCTCTCTTTTTTTCTCTTTGGGAGAGGGATGGGTTTTAGACGGGTCACTATTCGTTTCTCTTTTGAAGCCTTTTATTTCCCCATTCTGAAAATATCTATCAAACCTTCTCTTCCTAGATGATATTTCTTCATAATTAATGATCTCTACTATTGCAATTAGGCTGTAGGTTAACTATTAGATTGCTGATCAGCTGAACCTATTGGGGTCCTTAAGTTTCAGATGCCCGCTCATAGTACTTATTACTATTTTCGATATGAAACTGCTGCTTTTATTAAGTATCGTCTCAGAATTAACTCATCCATCCTGGCCTTTGAACAATTGCCTATGGTTGAGGATATGAAACCTCAAAGAGATTGATTGCTGTTGTTTATATTTCTGAATCATCTCTAGGGTTGGATGCTCATATTCTGGGACATTCTATATCCTCGTTCTAGAGGATTTTCTTCACTTCAATTCTACCCACGTCAAGAAACTAAGTGATTGTATGCTCAACCTAATAATCATATATCAACAATGTTGCCTTCTTGTAAATACGATCGAATAATAAATATTTTTCTGATAGAATGCTAAACAATACTTTCTTTACTCTGCCATAGCAGGATTTAGTAAGAGGTTTACAACAGCCACGGCATCGGCAAGATCACTACCATACTGACCCTCTAATATTTTTCTCATAACTGATGCATCTAAATGGTCAGTAATTGTCCCTTGTGCTTTGAAATGCTCAGTGCTTATGATGTGCAGAGAGGATTACTTTTCTGTTGTAGGTGGTGGGTGCGATGAAGTTGGGAGTTAACGGAAAATCTGAAAAAAAACGAATCATTCCTCATATACCAGACAGCAGTAGTGGTGTCAGATACATCAAGAATGGATTATCTTACCCTTGTACTCCAGCGCCTAAAAAGCACAGTCCAGGTAATTTTGAGATACCACTTTTTAGTCGAAAAACTGAAGTGTAGGGTGGGAATAGTTCATCAGTAGTGAAGAAAGCGAGAAACTTCGCCGATTTCGAGAAAAATAAGGCTTTTCAAAGGTAGGGATAATAGAGATTTTTCGAGATCACCATTACGGAAATAACCATCATCATCTCATACTTCTGCGGTCGTCTTGAGCGGTCGTGTGCACCCCACTCTGCTGGCTCGCCGTCTATTCAGAACCTATCTGATCTTTATTTTATCGTTACGACACGGTATTCTTATCATATATCGTACGACTATATTAACTATAACAGTACTTTGTCGACGACGTAGCGGTACAGATAAGTCCAAGTTTATTGGTGATAGATTTGTGTTTAAACGTTCGATTGCTGTTATGTCATCATATCGATTGCGCACACGAATGAAGAGCAATTTTGAGAGCTATCAAACGCGAGTTGTAGCGTTCAGGGAGACTGTCCTGCAGACTCAGAAATCGCTAATATGTCAATGAGTGAGCTTGTGAGCGCCATGATGGAGCGAAATGAGCAGATAAAAGATCCTGTTATGGCGCAGTTTTTGAATGCTCTTGTCTCTAAGTTGCCTCATTGCTGATGCTGTGGGAGCGGATAAAAGGGGCCGTAGCTTGGTTGTCTCTGGAATTTCTGAGTCTAGCCCCAATATTCCTCCTTTTGGCAAGCGAACAGTTAGAGGTTAAGGTGACTGAAGTGCTTGACATTTTAGGTGTCGAATGTAGATCAGTTGAAGTATACCGTATGGGAAAACTTGACAGCTCGCGTCCCAGGCTGGTCAAACTGGTGCTGCCGTCGAAGAACCACGGGATTACAGTACTTACCAAC